TTTGTGAAAATGTAGGTATTCTGAGAAAGCCAGCTTGCTGCTTCTGTCCTTCCTAAGGCTGGAAATGGACTGGGACCAGGACAGTGGATCCGTACTGAAGGTCGTGGCAGCTTCACTTCTCAGTAAAATTTGCCCCTCTCTCCTGGTAACCCTGTAATTACTTACATGTTGTTTCTGTTAACAGGATAACAGATCTAATTTTTGGGTATCATGTATAAGGATGTGTTTTCTGGCAGGTGTTAAGATGATGTTGAGGTGGTTCTGAAAAGGCATGGTGAGGCAGTTGCAAATGGGAGCAGTTGAGGTTTTTGGTTTGCTAGTAAAATTTCCTGGGAGAGTGTGTGAAACTTTTAATTTCTTTTAATGTGTGCATAACACTTAATGAGATAGCACTTAAGACTGTAATTGTGTGTACACAGCTAATGCCTAACAGTTTTCAGACAATCTGTTTAAAACCTCAGAGTACTATAGCAATGCAAATAGGAATCTGCTTGCTTTGAGTGGGATTTATAGTTTTGGGTAACTTTGCATACTCAAAAATAAAGTAAAATAAAACTTTTCAGGACTTAATGTGACTTCTTTGGAGGTGGGATATTAGAACATACTAAATGCTTTAAGAATTGCATGGTAACTATAAATATATTCAAAAAAGCGTATAAATTCCACAAGTGCAGAAACTACATAAGAAGAAAAATTGGTTTGAGCCTTAGTTCTGGACAAGTTCTGGTATAAGGTAACAGAAATCCAGCTGAATTTTTACCAGGGATTGATTTTGTGCAGGGACAAAGCCTATTAGTTTCTCAGAATGGATAGGTGTGAGTCATTAAAATAAACAAAATAATTTACTGGTTGCATAAATGACTTCTAAGTCTTTGCTTAAACATGGACACTGCACTAGTTTAACTAACTGCTAGCACGATGTTGTTACTTCCGAATTCGTGATGATATGAAAGGTGTCCTTGCCCATGGCAGGGCACTTGGAGTTAGATTTTTGTTCTTTCTAACCTAAACCATTCATTCTAATTCTTTATTTTTTTTGTGGAGCAGTCAGAATGCTGAATATGTAAAGACTGAGCAGTAAGGATAGTGGGTCCTTAATATTTCACAATGTGTAAACTATGTCAAATAGTTAAAATGCTTTGGGGTTTTCTCGGGGCTCTGGGGTGGTTTTTTTCAGTTGGATAAATTACAGAACACTTATTGAAGGCACTAAACAAATATTTTTTTATGCTTAGTTTTTATCTGTAGCACAAACTTTTATTAAACATGGTTTTTATTCTTGTGTTCTTTAGTGACTGAAATAATGAAGCTATAAACAAACTTTAGTGTACACACATTCATGTATTTTTAGTGAAAACTGTTTCAAGTGTTAGAATAATCACAATCAATTACTGTTTGGAATAATTTTGAAATTATAAATGCTGTAAAATTAGATTTTGGTGGTGTTTTTTGGTGATACAACATTGTCTTACAGTACATGGTTTTAACACTGTTTAGAGGATTGATGGACTGCAGTTGTATGAGTGATGTTTTGAGGGATTGATTGACTATGGCAGTGAATGTGTGATGTTTAAATACGTACAGTTCAATTTCTACTTGGAAAGTAAAATAAAAACCCCACTTGTTCATAGGCGCTGAGTTGATGGTCTGTTATTGCTCCATGGTGTGTCTATCTTAATTTTTTTAAAATCCAGTTTCCTGACTGCTCTTTGTGAAACTTAAATTTCTGAGTGCATGTTGGCATAAGGGATGAATTTTCTCTAAATTTGCTCTTACTGCAGTTGGGAATACAGTTATTAGAACAAGGCAGTCTGTTGAATTTGAATGTTCTGAATTGTTTTGCAAGTTGTCATTTACCTTATTCACAGAATTAAAGGGATGAAAAATTCTTCTCAGCTTATTAGTTCTGTTGAAGCAATAGTATGTTACTGGGTAAGAGATATTTAGACATGCCTTGTGAGACAGAGCAGACATCATACGCCTAAAGCTTTTGTAACACAAATATTAATATTAAATATTAACACCAAAAGTATTACTGGCTCATCTGGTACAAAATACTGCAGTGTTGAATAACTGACTTGAATAGAACTCATTCTGTAAGAGATGAAATGGTATTAACCTTCCTGAAGACTGATCATTGTTTTTCCAAATATATGTGGTGGCTATATTTTAGAAGATAAACTACTGATTAGAAAAATAGATTAATTTCTCTTAGAGCTCCCTTTGTTTAAAGTAGGAGATGCATTGCTGTTTGGATGACATTCTGCTGCTGTTAATCAACAGCTAAAAAATTGCACCAGCCCCTCTCGCCCCCCAAAATTAACCCCAAACGCCCTTAGTTTATGCTAATTGAGACAGTTGTGAGCCAGAACTAATACTACCAGTATGAATTCAGGCTTGCTCGGACTGTGCAAGCTAAAGCAAATTGCAATGATGTCTTGTTTACTGCGCTGACAGGAGTGTGTGTGTGTGTGCGTAACTTTCAGCAGTGGAGAGAACAGACCCTGTAATACAGTTATGAATGTAAATGGCTTCAAAGAATATACTGGAGCCTGTAAGCTTCTTGGAAACTTGAATATGAGGTGATAGGATTTGCAAGCTCGTTGTGATTAGTTTTGGTATGGGAACATCAGTCTTTGTAGCCCTGAACTGCCAACAACCTTTGTCCTTTATTTTACCTTCAGGAAAAAAAAGGGGGGGATGGGGTGGGGTCATGTTTGAAATAGGGAAGTAAATGAATGTTGGCTAATGGCCATGTCTTTTCCTAGAGCAAAAAAATATCTTGGAAAGATAGATGAGATTCTGGGCCTGGATTTGAATGATATGTGAAGCTTTGTAAATTATTTATCAGCACAAGCCTTTTTGAAATGGCTAAAGCACTGTTACATTGAAGGGAAAGAGCATGGTATGGTTGCCAAGAGGAGATTTTTACTGGATTCCGCTAAAAGAATAATCTGTCTTTTAAAATTATCTGTATTAAACTTTAAGTAGCAGTTAAGAAATGTCCACACACTGGTGCAAAATCTGTTTTAATAGCTCTGGACCCTTTTTCTACTGCTGATTATTAACATAGTTTGTGTATTTTGGGCTTTTTGTTAGTATCATTTTGCTCCAGTGACATATCTGATGAAAGCAAAATTCTGGGAAAGATCTGTTGAATTATATCTGACCGACAAGAATAGTAACTAATTAATTCTTTCTTATTTTATTTATATATATGTTCTTTTTATCAAGTGAAAAGTTCTGCAAGTAGTTGGTATAACCCTTTCCACCTATAGAAATATGGATGATGTTCAATGACATCCTTCTAAAACTGACAGCACCAATAATGCAGATGCACAACCATTTTTGGAAGCTGCTTTATAACTTAAATGGTTGTTTTTATCCAAGTAGCAAGTTCATATTTCAGCTAACCATATAACCCATAATGGAGACCTCAGTAAGACAAAAGACTGCAGATGATGTTTGTTCCTATTGGTTATAAGGTGGTTACAGCACTTCCCTTTTGTAGGTGATGGAAGAGAACACACATCTCCTTACTTATGAAAAGTTCAGCTCTGTTTATATTTTATGTATATTCTTTGGGGTATACAAGTATGTCAATATTTCAGTAATTGGATTGTGAAGAGTTGAACAGTGAGCAGACCTGCTGAGGTCTAAATTTTCAGAGAAAGTACGGTGCCCTGGGGTATGTTTATATGGAAGTATGTTTATGTGTGCTCCTCTTCTATGGCTAGGACAAACTTACTTTCCTGGTGTCAGCATTCTTCATGCTGCTTGACTTAAAATGATCATAAAGCTTAATAACATAAAAGTAGTTTCAATATTTCTGTGTTATATTGTGTTGAGATATAAGGGCATATCACCATGGAACGAATTCTTTCACAAGAATACCCTTAAAAACAAGCATTCCCCTCTTCCCAGATCTGTAATGGAATACAGATTTATAGGTCAAGTGAAGATAGCCTGCCAGCTTTCAAAGTATTGTAGCATAAAGTGGAAATGGAAAATGAAGGTAAAGCCAATAAATGATTGCTTTGATATGTTAAACTAGCAGCATTGCCTACCTGAGTCTGGAAGCTGTGAATTCACAAAAGAAACCATTTTAATCTGGGTTATTGTGATACTCTCTGCTAGAAGGTACTCTGTTATTTGACTATCCCATTTGGGAGAAATGGTTGTATATAATTTTATTTGTTAGAGACCTGTTTGAAATTACTTCAGTGTAGTCATTAATACATTAATATTTTGGATGTTGCAGGTTAGTGTTTTCTTAAAAGCTCTAAAATGTAATGCAGAAACTATATAATAAATCTTCTCTGATCATTTGTTATGTAATTGATAAGGAAGATGGGAAGTAAAATTTGTATCAATTCTGAAGTAATTCTCTAAAGAGTTCTGTGTATTGCTTCTAGACATTGAAAGATTTGCATGTTTTTTATTATGAATGTCTATCAAAGCTGATGGGACTCCTCAGACTGTCATGGATAACTCTTGATCTGTTAAATCCAGTGCTTTTACCCTAAAATGGTAGTTTCAGGGAAGGGTATGAGTTGTACTGAATTTCCAAGTAATAAAGTATGTCTTGAATTTGAGTTTTTGTCTTGTGTAAAGGAACTCTATTTGTCTGTAATAAAGACTAGTTTACATCTTGATCTTTGAGCACTGTTGCATTTGAAGAACAAGCAATTGTGTTCTGGAGTTGCAATTGTGTGCAAGAATAGTGTCTCAAGTTCTAATTTTTCCTTGTTTTTGTTAACACTACTCTTGTATTGGAGGCATTTACATGGGTTAATATACAGGGTTGCTTATTATGGGCCAGCTTGAAGTTTATGAAGCATGTTAAGATGAAAACTTTGTAACAAAGTTAGTAAAGTGGAGATTTGCCTTGCCAATTAGTGTGTACTACAGCAAAATACAAAGTAAAAGCCTTGGAGGCTGGTGGGTTTTGGTTTAGGGTTTTTTTTGTTAGCTAACTGTCTGTTTATTTTTAAATCTAGCCACGAGCTGATCCCATCCCAATATGTAGCTTTTGCTTGGGAACGAAAGAATCAAATCGTGAAAAAAAACCAGAAGAGCTCTTGTCTTGTGCTGATTGTGGCAGCAGTGGTAAGTTGGCTGAATTTACAAATACTAGAAATGTTTATGTTTTAGTATGTCTTCTAAAAAATATTTTAAACTTGTAAACCTTATCCTCTCTTTGATCAAACATAGATCAAGAACTGAATCCAGAGGGACAGAAGAATTTGTTGTTGTTTTTCTTGGTTGGTTTGTCAGTTTTGTTTTTGTTTGGTTTTTTTAAACTAGAATTTTGTCATCTTTATAATTAGGATAATTACAAGTGAGAGATGTGAATTCATCTTTATGTCAAAGTACAGATCTGATGAGTAAATTAAGAGGGGGAAACCACACTTTTACAATACAAGAATTTGGTTATTGTTTGGGATCTGTGTTGGCTCTGAAGACTCAGTTTTGCATTGTGACATCAAATGATCAAGAATTTTGCTTGCACAGATTTTCAACATTTCAGAAGCTGAGGAATAATCACAGTAATAAAGACTATGTAGCAGTCTTTGCTGCTGTACATCTTGTGTATCCAGTTCATTTTTTTATAAAATTATTGTGTTACTCAAGAGGGAATTTCAATGATATTTAAGGTAACATACCACCTGAGTTGGGCAGCTGGTTACTTGTCAGGCACAAGATAATGACACCACTGATTGCAGGTACCTTACTCCTGCATGTTGCAGCAGCTCTTGCAGACTGTGGCTGTTCCTAACGCTGGTGCTTCTCTTCTCTGTGGTGACCAGTGCTGGGGCCCGAGGCAACAGCCTGAGCTTGTGTCAGGGGAGGTTTGGGAAAAAGCTTCTTCACCCAGAAGGTGGTTGTGCACTAGAACAGGCTCCCCAGGGCACCAAGGTTGGCAAAGCTCAAGAAGCATTTGGACAATGCTCTCAGGGCACGTGGTGTGACTCTTGGGGATGCCTTGTGAAAGGTCAGGAGTTGGACTGGATGGTCCTTGTGGGTCCCTTCTAGCTCTGGATATTCTGTGATCCTGTGCACCTGGAGTCCATGAGTATCATCGTTTTGTAGGTATGCTGCTGGTAGCTATGGCAGTTCTCAGGTCAGGTTACATCATTACTTGAGTAAAAATAAAACACTATGGATAAAAACATGTTTTCAGTTAATCAGGATATGTTATTGATTGTCTGCTTCTCAATTGGCATCCTGATAGTTGCTTTGTATTTTAGCCAGTGTATTTTTTAATATATGTTAGTCAGTTATTATCCTCTGAAATAAGAAGATTACTTTTTTAACCCAGTATGCCAACAGCAAACCTCATAAATATAAATTGTCTTGCTTTAGTGGTTTATAGGTTATAGGTCTCCTCTGTTTTCAAATCTGTTTTGTGATATTTGTAATATTAATACTTGGTTAGACTTTGGTGCAGAGTTTACATTTATCAGGTGAGCTGAGCTATCAGCTACTCTTCTATTGTGTAACAATTCCCTGGTGGGTCTTAAGACACTTTAGAACTGGAAGTCTTGACTTTCATGGATCAGCTTCTATTTGAATTAACACCGATACATTCTCTGGCTCATTAAGACTAAATTGTCTTTAATTAGTTCCTCAGATGTATTAGATGTAAGGAATGAAATGGTGAGACTGCCAATCAGTTTGCTGGATGGTTAAACTTCAGCTACTGATGCCTAACTAAAATAAAAACTGATTTCACTGCAATTTATAAATAACAAAACTTCACTCAAGTGGAGTTTTATTGTAATTGGATTTGCAATTTTGCACATTGCAGTGTATCTCAAAGCTGGTCTTGCTGTCTAACAAATAGAAAAGAAATTGCATGTTGTGCACAGCAAGCAAATTGTTCAGTTGATCAGAGATTAAATTGCAGTGCCCACTACTGGCATGCCTGTTTTCCCTTTTTGTTTTTGTGTCAAGTCTCTTTTGTCTTTTCAGGTAGTGCTTCTGGATTCTGAAAGCAGAAACTAGCTGGATAACTAGCTGCACATTTTTGTGGTATTTGGGAGGAAAAATATTTGGGTAGTAGAAATGAAGTGCACACTATGTCAGTTGGCACAGAGGGTTTTCTCAAGAAGTAAGATGAGGGATGTCAGATGTGAGAAAACAAATCCCATTACAGAAGCAGACATAGTTCCTCTTGGTTTTGATTGGGTTTTGTAATTTGGGGTTTTTTTTCTCTCCTGCTTTTTCCCTATCTCTTGATTTTGAAAAATCAATATACTTGAGAACTGGAATTGAACTCTGCTTCTGTTTTTCCAAGCAAGATGTGCAGAAGCAATTAAAGATTAATGCTGCTGACAGATTTTTATAAGGGTTTGAAGTTGTAGAATGAGGAGGGAAAAAAATTGAGTGACTGGAGAATTATAATAAATGTTTTTTTTAGAGGGGCAAAATAGCAAAAAGTAGAATACTTATGGGTATTCTCCTTCCAAATTGTATGTTATCTTGAGGAGGCAAGAAGGTTACTGGTCAAAGACAGGTAGAAAAGGCTGGAGAGCAGAGCAACAGAGAGACACTGGACTCAGGTCAGAAGGAATAGGGACAGAAAACATTTGGAAAGAACTGGGCAGAGATGGCTTTCTAAATGACATTTAGGGTATGCTTTAGTAATAATGGAGTATAGAAATTGTCTTAATTATTGCTGTCTGTGTAAGGATATTGGGTTAGTTGAATAAAATGAACTGCATAGAAACCTGTAGGTGGAAGAAACTGGTACATCCCCAAGGCAGGTGCACTGACCATCTCTGCTCATAGCTAGTCTCCCTAAACAATAATAACAACACTTTCTACCTAAAAGATTAGCAGACACAAGTTGAGGGGTTTTTTTTGATGAATTATCTTACACAGTAGTTCCCAGCATTTGTGTTTAAGTTAAAAATAACTGGAGATATTAGCATAACTAATTTAGCACTGTGTTTAGTCACTGATCTAATGCTTGTTCTTTTGAAATACTAGCTTTTTCATCAAATCCTTTAATGAATAAAAGAGGCTGAGCTTTGTGAAGAAGACACAAAAGTGGGCAGGTTTAAGAAATTACCTTCAATCACAAAGGAATGAGACTCGCTTTTGACTTCCTGATCTTGCCTATTTCTGCCACGTCAGTGTATCACAAATCTGAACTGTTTCTAACATGGATGAACAAATTTTGAAGTGTTTCATTTTAAAGTAGGCCTGTATATATTCCTGGTGAAATCTTTCAGCTTGCAAAGGTCTAAATTTGCAGTAATTTGGTAAACTTGTTTGATACATTAAAATATTGATGCTACTGAGTTTTAAAAGAAACTCACCTGGTAGAACCAGGAGAAATTGCCAGTTTAATCAGTTCAAACTAGTGTTGGAAATCTCTTGGAATTTTGTCAGCTTCTAGATACGGAAAAGATAGTATGTTTGTAATTCCAGTTTAGATTAGTTAGAGCTGAAACGCTGCAAATTTGGAAGCCCAAAACATGCTTTCCTTCAGCTTTCAAATTATAAAAAAAAAGCTAGCTGTAAAATCAGTGAAGGGCACTGTAACTTCAACTGACTATTGAAATCTGTTAAACTACAAATCTGTATAACTGCTATGAATGTAGTTAAACAGAGTTCCTTTTAAAACTAAAACTTGTTGGTTACCACTTAATGTCTGGTAGGCATTACCCCATACATGTTACTGCTATATTTGCACTTTTTTTTTATACTTTTTTTATACTTTTTTTTTTGCACTTTTTTTTTATATTTGTCAGTTTGTGTCTAAAATGAATAGTTTAAGTATTATCAGCTATTAAAGAACCATACCATATGGTATTTTGAAGTCTCAAAGTTCCTGTGCTGTCTCTGCTGGTGCATACCTAGAAAAGATGGTGAAACAAGTATAGCAAATCCATGGCGATGGTTCCCATTTGCACCCTTCCAGTTCTAGTTACTTCTGGCTCAAGGATTTGGAATTGTAGGCATGTTTAATACCAGTGGAATATTTTTCTTGAATTTTTGTCTGATAATAAAGTCTAGGGATTAAAGAAATGTATTAAGCTGTGTAATTGCTTCAATGAGACATGTTTCATTGGTAGATAAGAGATACAAAGTAACACAGTTATGCTTAGTTTGTTCAAGCAGTGGGTACCTACCAGTGAGAATGGATGTTCCATATGTTTATACATCACAGTTATTTACATGAAACACCATTAAAATCAACAGTTTGAACTGCAACTTACCTGCTCCTTGAAATAAATAACTTCTGTGCAGGGTAGGTAACTGGAATTAAATACACTTACATGGAGTGATTGATTTATGACTAGGCTTTAATGTGTTAATAGGGCTGTTAAGTCATAAGTTGATAAAATAAGTCTTTATGTGATATTGATTAGTAATATCAGCCTCTCTAGGGGATTTCATTGAAGGGAACAGTATCTCATTGAACTCACCTCTGCTGTTACAGTATATTTGTCACATTCTTGAAAGAGCATACTCAATTTTAACCCCAAAAAATGTTCATATATCTTAAACTGTATGCAAAGAATAAAATGGTGATGCTTTTTCAATATTTTTCTGAAACTACTCTTTGAATTTATTATTGATTGCTCCTTCCTAATAGATTATATGTCTGCATTTTATTTTGAGAAAATGCACAATTCAAGTTGTATTTCGAAGCTTAACAATAAAGTGGTTTAAGCCTTGGATGAGGAGAATAAAAGGAAATAAAATCTGAAATTGTCACTTATTCAGGTGACTTTTGTATTTCTCCACTTTGCCATTAATGCCTCAGTCCATTAGACAAAAATAGCAAATGCTCATAGATTAGATTGTATTTTTATTTGTGGTGTTTTAGCTCAGTCCTGGACTGAGAGACAGTTGATGGAGAAAGTCTGAATCACTGTAACTACAGCATTACCTAGAAGAAAGCACTCATTCCAACTCTGACAGTGAGAAGAAAGCACCTTTGATGCAAGCCGCATCGCTGCAGCCATCTAGAAGTCCAGCATGGCATCAGGGATTCTTCTGACAACTTCTGTGTTTATGTTCATGACAGATAATCTCTGAGTATAATACTATCATAAAGTGTTTCCCTGGGAATGCTTATCCCTTCCTATATAGCAGCGCTTTTATCTTTTCTGGATTAGGGCTGTGCTCCGAGGTTGTTGAAGACATGAAAAAAATCACTGCCAGTGTTGCCTCAGGTGTTGGATGTGTTCAGTTGCCTGGTATCTTCTGTTAATTGGAGAAGTCGTGTAGGCCTTCAAGACTACTGTGAAAAGAGGATGGTCCTGCTGAGGAATTTTTGTGTTTTGTGGGAGGTGGTAGTTCAATACTTCACACCCACCCTCTCAATTTTAAACCTTGTATTGTAATATATTTTCCTTATGCCAATTGCCAGATTCTTTTTTTTCCCCATTTTATTACTCTGAAATTGTTCTCTGTTTATAATTAAGTAATAAGTTGAAATAAAAAAACACATGTAGTTTGGCTCTTCATTTTCTCTGGTAGATACTTAGTATAGTTAGAAAAATAACTAATGCAGTTTTATCTGAAGATTTTCTCTGCTATGAAAGGAGAATGTGGTCAAGTTTATGAATATGTTTTTTTTGAGAACCAATGACAGTTTAATATGCCATGGAAATAACCTAGTGAAAATAAAAAGTTCAGTTTTAGGTGCTTATGTAGACCATTCACTGGTGTCAGTTAAAGTCAATTTTCTGCCTGTCTTCATGAATGGGTTTCATGACAATTATTCTGTGTATTTGTATGAAGTAGAGGAGTTAAATAATGTGTTGCAAAATTCTGAAAGCAGCTGGTACTTGCAGGGTTCTGGTGGTGCTGGCTACATCCTCCTGAACTTTAAAATCAGTCTAAACAATCTTAAATCTCAATCTCTCCATAATATTTTGGTGTTTTTTAGGACATCCATCATGTTTGAAATTCTGTCCTGAGTTAACAACAAATGTGAAGGCATTGAGGTGGCAGTGTATTGAATGCAAGACATGCAGTGCATGTAGGATCCAAGGCAAAAATGCAGTAAGTTAGACTTGTTCAGTGTTACTTGACTTCTCTTTGTTCATAGTAGCTTTATAATTAGCACATGTCCAAATGCAAATAATTGGTGTACAACTTCAAGCAATGCTGTATTAAGTCTCTTTTTTCCTTTTCCCTTTTCTCCACCCCCTCATCCCTGCCCCCCCAGGATAACATGCTTTTTTGCGACTCCTGTGATAGAGGGTTCCACATGGAGTGCTGTGACCCGCCACTATCCCGAATGCCAAAAGGTGATCTAAAAAATCCTTTCCATGAAAGTACCTTCATTTGCAGTCATGTATTAAGTGACCAAAACCTGTTGAGCATGCTGTTTTCATTTTTCTTTTCAATGATAAATAGTATGATTTCATTCATATCAAAGGAAATTTTACTTGTCATTATATGAGGGGTTTTTTCCTCAGGAAAATAATAAAGGTCTACATATAGTTCCCCAGATGTATTCACTGTGTAATGAATTGTTGCTCTGTTTATTGAAGGTAAAATTTTAGAAAGGCTGTTCAAATGCTTGGAGTATATACACTGACAAAGAAGTTCTTGGAACATGTAGAAGAGCCTCTTCTTCCTGCCTTTTGTAGGAGTAATTGGAAAAACAGGCAAACAAAGCAAAATGCATGTGTTTTCAGGTTCTCTGATCTCTAGATTTCTTAGCTATGGCACCTCTCACTTTTGCTCTTACATCTTTATGGTTTTCCCTATTTAATCTTAAAGTTACATTAAAAACTTTCTTCAGTTCCTCCCCTGCCAGTCCCCAGCCTTATGTACAATAGATGTTTGGCTATCTAATGTTAAAAATATGCTAAATTCAAGTTGCATATTAAAACAAATATACCATAGATGTGAAGAAGTGTATTTAGCATGCTCTACCCTAGTGGCCTTGTAACACACACTTAAATTTTTTACCCTGTCTTAATTCTGTCTGGAGAAAAATCTAGGTAGTATAAGGAGGGACAAGCTAGAACAGAAATTCTTCTAGGAACCTAATTGCTCATAATCTTTTCTGTGATTCTTGTTGCCTCTTGTATCCTCCTTTCCATGAGCACTTTGCTTTTAAAAATTAGATAGAGGTGGATCACTTTTTTGCCCACTTTCCCTTGCCTGTGTCCTGTTCAAGAGATAATTTGCTGACTCTATATACTTGGTATGTGTCTTGGTACACACCTGCAGTACAGATGAGATAAACTGTGTGCAACTAAACTCTTTTTCCTTTATATAGGGATGTGGATTTGCCAGGTCTGTAGACCAAAGAAGAAAGGAAGAAAGCTGCTTCATGAGAAGGCTGCACAAATAAGGAGACGATATGCAAAACCTATTGGACGACCGAAAAATAAATTAAAGCAACGAATGTTGTAAGTTTCTCTTGGTTTTTATTTCTTTAGATGTTTCTGAGAATGTAGTCAGATAAGAGTTTGGTATAGGTTTAAGCACCGTTTGTAACTCTGTTTCAAATAGGGGAAAATAGATAATGAGTGATTTTGTATGTGCCTTTCAGCCCAATGTTCAATAACTTCTAAATTATAGGAGGTGCTTTTGGTGTCATGTTAGGTGGTGATAAAAAATTACTGTAACTTAATTTTTCAGGTCCTGTAAGTTTTTATCAAAAATTGTACCTATAGCAGATGCAAATAAACTTCTGTATAATAACATATGCCACGGCTGTCTTTTAAGTGTAGCTTCAAATACTTGTAGTACCTACAGAAGACAAAGTGGATAATATCAAGCTGGTTATATACAACTTCAGGAGATGGTTCTGGTCAAAGAGCTGTTTGAAAACTGTATAAAAATTGTTTTTTGTTTTATTAGTTAATATCAGTTCACAAAACCTGTTCCAAAAAGCAAATTATAGAAGTAACAAAGAAGTTCTGGTTTCTGTGGTACTCTAGAAAAGATCATTACTTGAATTCTGCTGTTCACCTGCTACCAGTTACTAGGAAAAGAGATTGCAATTCCTCTTGCTTCTCAGGACTGTGTTTATCTAAAACAAGAGTGTGCTGTAATTTTTTTTTAGCATCTGTCTCCCCAGAAAACACTGTAGTTGGACATTGTGAGTCTTGGTTAGAGGAGTATTTAAGTAGCGTTCAAATACTGAGTTGACATTACACTGAGTGTTAAATAGGAACGGATTCTGTGTCAGCTACAGTAGTATGTTGCCCTCCATCACATGTTCCTATCCAAGTACACCTTTTTCCCCCCTATTTAAGCATTATTTGACTGTTTGGCTATGTCAGCTGAGCAGCTGAAAAGCTTTTTGACTCTACCAACTACTCAGTCTTTACATTGTTACATTCTTCTCTACAGTGTAAAAACCTGTCTTGTATTATTCAGAGTTGCATGGGAGCTGCTGTAAAACTTTGCATTTTGCAAAAAAAGGATTTTTGAAGCCACATGTGAAAAATTAAGGAAAAGTACTTGCAGTATAGTGCACTAGTCAAGTTGATTACTTGATGCTGTGCATCTTGCTATATTCTCTTTTGCCTTTCTCTCTGCCAGGATCTTTAATCTTGCCTTTTTGGTTCTTGTCCTAAAGTTCAGTGTATGTTGCTCTAGGAAAGTAGTTCAGGACAGGACTAAAGTATGACACTACATGAAAGTAAAACATGTAGTTGTACTGGCTGGTGAGACCATGCTGTTAGACTGGGTGAAACATTGTACTTCTCTGTTCTCCTCCTGAATAAATAGCTTAGGAATTTGAAGGTCATTGAAATTTCTATATATCATTGTGTGTGCATAATAAAAATATTCCCTATATCTCTAGCTATGCCTTGGGCTTTAGTTGTACCCCTGGTTGTATTTATCCTTTGAAAACACATAAACCTTCAGCTGGAGGTTAGGGCTCTCTTGTGGTTCAGGAGTGATACTCCCCAGCTTAATGCTACTGCTGAGACTCTCTGCTTTCTTGCTTCCCCCCCGCCAGTGGCTGGAGAGGAGAATTGAAGGTACAAAAAGTAAAGATCCAGGCCAAGATAAGAACAATTTACTGGAAACAGGAGTGAGAAAAGAAAGCAAACAGTCACAGCTACAGTACCAATAACAAAGTGTACAAGACAGGCAAAACAATTCACATGTGATTATTTGAAATGGTATTACCCAGCTGCTCCCCACTTACCTGACTGCAATGAGCCCCTTCTCCCTGGAAGAGAGTCCCTTTCCCTGCCCGTGAGGTGGTACACAATAACCACTGGGTCCTGGACATGTTCCCCTTGGCTACTGCAAAAATTAACCCTGCCCTGACCAGAACCAGGACTGGTTCTAATACAGTCCTGCCATCTTTCTTCTCTGCAGACATGCATGTTTGGCTTCCCAGTGGGTGGATTTAGCAGCAATGTACCCCCGGACACTAATTCTGCTTCTCCTCCTTCCTCATACATGTAATAGAAAGGTTGGAAATGTTATGAGGGTTTTCCTGTTGTGTTTTGCTGTTGAGATGTTGAGCTGCAACTTGTATAGCGAACGTTATGCTAAAGGATGCAGAAGTTCTTTTAGTATTATATGAAGATTATTAACATTTTCAGAAGGGTTTTCTTTGTAGCATGTGAGCTGCATGAGCATGTTACAGGGAAGCACTTCATAAAATAAATATTTGCAGTACTGCCAGCACATTTCTATTACTTCAGTGTCTTATATATAAAAACAAAGTCATCTTGTTTTGGAAAAATAGTGATTAGAGATTGTTGTATCGTTAGAATCAAAGAAGAGATTCTTTGGCATGAAATCCTATTTAAAAGTGATTGTGGGGTATGGAAGACAATAGTGTCAAACATAAAAAGTGTGTAGTCACATGAAATACAGGAAGGTTAGCCAATGCCATTTAGTCCTTGTATGGTACAAAGAAAATCTTTCCAGTGGTACTGGAATAATTTTTTGCCTGTTGACCATCTGTAGGAAGCCCTTCACAGGCAAATTACTGTGTAAGATTAACTTAAACCAGGTGTGTGCTGGCCTCTGGCACTGCTGGTGGTTACCACATCTGGCACTGAGAATAGGTCTTGGGATAGACTTATGCGTATGATGCCAAAGGATTCAAAAGATTTAGAAGTCCTTGGTTTTGTTGCCTCTTAGGAACTAAGCAAATTTAAGGATGTGTGGGTGGAAGAGGGGCTGGTTCTTAGGCTGGTGGGCCCTTGGAGGTCAGGAACCAGATGGTAGCCCTCGGTTGCTGAATCCCTAATTAGAAGTAACCTGTTGCAATTAATTACTTCAGCATCTCAATTAAGAGGGTAGAAATCTGTGGAAGAAAACTTTCTGCTGCAAAGTAAATAAGCTAACTTCAAAGAGCAGGATGGAAAAGGGAATGAAAGAAAGCATGTGATACAACTGTGTAGCTTTGTTTGGCTTTGTAATTTAATTGTCTGTCCTGATAACTCTTTCTTTTACTGCAGATATTTTCAAAAGTTCTGTTTCTTTATGCTAGAATATACTACTCTGCAGTGTAGTTCCTCTCTTCAGTTATTAGCAACTAGTTAAAACTGTAATTTTGTTCTCACAGATGTTGGCTTTCAGTATGCCCTTTTTCTTCCTTATTTAAATAAGATTCACCACTCTGTTTTTTCCTAACACCTTCTGTGTTAGGCCTGATTCGTTCGTGGCTTGTCTGCAAATGCACCTTGGTTAGTCTTGCTCTTTCCTTTCCTTTGCTATTTTTGTTTTTTGCTCTTTTTAGAATTTCTAAAGAGACCTTCTTTAGTTTTGTTGTAATGCTCTTAATAAACTACCTTATTTGGCTTTTAGGTCTTTGATGGTAACTTTTGCTGTCACGTTTTACATAATCCAACAAGAGTGTGGGGAAAAAAAAGCAGTTTCTTGAAGACTGACTGTTTGCTTTGAAGGATTAATAGACTTTCTCTACAGTTTAAGCAAATGTAGTCTGAAGTTTAACTGTTTTGATATCATATTAACGCTTAAAACATTCATCTTCTCTGTGTGTACAATAAACTCTATGGTGATGGAGCAGTTGTTTGTACAAACATGATGTAATGATATTTTTTCCAGAGAGGCACACTTTGGCTATGCCTAAAAGTATATGAGAAGGCTGTATACAGGGAGATCTTGCTATGCCAGCACTTTATGTATATCTGTGGACTGTCTTTTAAAGATGGGATGGGGAACAAAAAGGACAAGGGGAAAAAAAGATTGATGTTATGTCATAGTGTGAAATGTATTTCCAAAATGTATGTGTATTTAAATTTCTTGAAATATTTTTAAGTACAGTGGCCCAGGTAACTTGTAAAACTCTAGTGCTATTTGACAGTAAAGATTTTGAATGCTAATTTTTATTTTTCGAATTTTTGCATAGGTCTGTAACCAGTGATGAAGGATCCGTGAATGCATTCACAGGAAGGGGGTCACCTGGTAGGGGTCAAAAGACTAAAGTCTGTACCACACCTTCATCTGGTCATGCTGCATCTGTGAAGGATTCAAGCAGCAGATTGCCTGTTACAGACCCCACTCGGCCTGGTGCCACCACCAAAATCACCACCACCTCCACCTACATATCTGCCTCTACACTTAAAGTTAACAAGAAAACCAAAGGTCTCATTGATGGCCTTACTAAGTTCTTTACACCATCACCTGATGGTCGCAGATCACGAGGTGAAATAATAGACTTTTCAAAGCACTATCGTCCAAGGAAAAAGGTCTCTCAGAAACAGTCATGCACTTCTCTTGTGTTGGCTACAGGTACCACACAAAAGCTAAAACCTCCACCTTCTTCACTTCTACCCCCAATCCCCATCTCTGGTCAGAGCCCCAGTTCTCAAAAATCCAGCACTTTGATTTCTTCTAACTCTCCCCCAAGTTCTTCCAGTCAGTCAAGCATACCCTCCTTTAGTAGCCTTCCTAGTAGCAGTCAGCTAAAGGGACTCTTTGATGGACTCTCTCATATCTATATCACTCATGAACAGTCTCGAAAAAAGAGTCACCCAAGCTATGCACCCTGCAAGCACTCGTGTAGTAAACCAGAGTTATCTTCCACATCAACATCTAATAGTCATTTCTGTGGAAGGAAAGATGTTAGGAGTAGGTTTGTGTCTCATGCCTGTGCCTCTGGATGGGGTGTGTCTAGAGGACGTGCTTTTAAAGCAATTGCTCACCTCAAGAGAACAGCTTTCTTTAAAAAGCACAGGATTCTAGGCAGATTAAAGTATAAAATGACCCCTCAGATGGGGACCCCCTCACCAGGGAAGGGGAGCTTGACAGACGGAAGGATTAAACCTGATCAGGATGATGGTAAGCAAAGGTCGAAGCGCCAAACAAACCTGCGTCCCGTCCAAAACCAAAATTCTTATCACATAGGTCTTAGCTATTTCTCTTGTTCTTATTTCACTTTCATACAAAAACAACAAAACTTTGACCTTTTATCTAATGCTGACTAAATCTCCAAAACATTTTTGGTTGTTGTTTTTTTTTTTTCCCCTGACTAATACCACACCACTTTTTTATTATTTTTGCATCTGTAGTGACACTAGGAGCCCCAAATGCCTTCATAATGTTGCTTATGGCTGTGTAGTACCGCATGAGTAGCCACTTGTCATGCCACTTCCTTGTTCCTCCCTGCCGTTCCTGTGGCAGTGGTGCTGTCATCATGATTGTGTGCTGTCAGTGCTTATAACGGTGGGCATTTCAATTCATTTCCCTCTGCTCCATTGCTTTTTCATGAACAGTTCCATCATACTACAGTCTCCACAACACTTGATCTCTACTGCTGTGAACTACCTTTTTATTACTTTTAGTTAAGAAAGAAATACTTTTAATTTATAATGTTTGAATGCAGACTTAGCTTAGCATTAATCTTCAGGTTTTAAGGGCAACTTTTTTTCTCTTGTGTTTATTTTTCGCCTTCCAGAGTATACTAGAATTTATCAGGTGGCATAGTTCTAACAATCAAATATGCTCCATTTCATGAGGTTCAAAACTAGTTTAGTAGAACTGGACTATAAAGGCTTGTACAGACAGACAAGCAAGTACCAAAAAAGAGCTTGTGCAGCAGCAAGCTACAAAAGAAGAAGGGGGGGGCGGGGGGTGAAGGGTTCACTTCTGTTGCTTAGTAATCCCAGATTTGGTTAAAATGGGGAGTTCTTAACAGCCATAGTTGCAATCCTGTTTAGTAGTATCACTTGGCTAATGTGCATGTAACCTTCATGTCTGAATAAACTTTTTGCTGGTTTTAAATAACAGATACTGAAATCAAACTAAGCATCAAACAAGAAAATACGGATGTATTTCTCTTGGGAAGCAAGGACACCGTTACACAGGAGGATTTGGAAGTGTTTAAGCAGGCCCGAGAACTTTCCATGGAGGTAAGAATCATGTTGCCAAAATACAGTTATTTCTGTAAATAAAAGCTGAGTTAATTTTCAGTCTCTTCATCTTCATTTCTAATATATTCCTTTTAATCTAATGCATCATGCTTGCTGTGAATTCTGTTTGGGAGACACTGTATATACAGAGAGGAGACAAGGCATCATGCTGGAATGGATCAGATGATAAGTGACACTTAAGATAGATTTTGGAAGATATACTTGAGCATTTTGGAAACAGGACTGCAGGATCAAACATAGCGTTTAAAAGTAGCTGATGTCCTGGTCAGGAGTAAGAGGATATTGGTCAGTAATGATTTTGCTCTGCAAATAAAGCAGATATTCTGAAAAGCTAATTTGGTCCCACAAAACACTGCTTTGTAGAAAACCAGATTTAGTGAGTCCATAAATTCATTTTACTTGATTAGTCACCACACTTTGAGTTTAAATACTGTAGACTTTATCTAGCAGTGATAATATTTGAGCTGAATCAGAGTGGTGAACCAGACTTTTACTTTTCTGTGTCTGTGAGAACCCGGGTCAGAAGGTGGGTGAATGTAATGTTTCAATTGCTGCTTTCTTAAAATGACATCATAAATTGTTGTACTTTTTTCAGTAATGGAAGTCAGTTTTTTTTCAGGTTTAGTCTACAAGAGCTCACATTACACAATGACTTTTTCACAGTCTTCTTTCACAGCATATTAACCAACAAATTCAAATTGAGTTTAAAAATTCAGTTTTATTATTAGCTTGTGTTTCAGCTTCCTCATGGAAATAGTTCGCACTACTTGCTTTATCTTTCATATATAGTTCCTAAAAATATTGGGTGGTAAGGTTTCTAAAAGTTGACATAGAAATTGCTTGTTTTTCCCCACCTTTCTTACTATTTTATGTTTTGCCATCCCTTTAGAGCCTAGCAGTCATTTTCTGATCAGCTTAAATGCAGTATTATAGCTGAAATCAAAGTGTTAGCATATTCTTGTCTCTTTGAGATAAATTCCAGTTACTCTTGAAGGGTTGTGCTGATAGCTTTTCTCTCATTATTTTGACAGAAGGACAGCTTTGAGGTTTGCACCAGAATTATAGGGATGTTGTCACGCTAGGTGCTGTGGAAGAATAGAATTTGAGGCTGTTGTGCCTCTTTGGCTGGGCTTTAGCTGTTTGTATTTTCTGTTTGCAAACTCCGTCCTCTGTCAGGGTTTAAAGAGCTTAAGCAACTGATTTGGATATTTCAGGTTTCTCGTGCTTTCAGTGGGTGAAATTGGTTATATGAAGCTAAAGTTTCTTCTACTTTTCTGTAACTAATACTTTCATTTTTTTTTAATTGCACCTGACAGAAAATTGGGTGTAAAAACACTGGTGAAACAGGTGGGCGATACCCTTCAGTGATTGAGTTTGGAAAATACGAGATCCAGACCTGGTACTCTTCACCTTACCCACAGGAATATGCAAGGTAGCAAGTTGTCAAGATTGCCATATGTAGTTGGCATTTTTTCTGATGTGAACATTACAACTTATTTTTACTCTTTTGTAACTGTTTATAATTTAAAGCTTTAAAAAGTAAATATGCTTTTGTAATTACAACTGAGAACAAGAATCTGTCATTCTTTTTAGCTAGTTCTAAATCAAAGATGCAATAAAAAGTAGTTTTCCTAGTCCTGTACAAATGTCAATGTGTAGCATGTATTGGTGTGGTTTCATTCAAGGTTTATTTTTGTGGTTGTTTTGTTGGTTTTGTTTTCACTTATTTGTTTGGTTTTGTCTGGGGTTTTTTTGTTTTTTTGTTTGTTTGTTTGTTTTTTCTTACACCATTGCAATGAGGTATGTCTGACTTCTGGCCCTTTAGACAAATTGCTTTTGGTTGTGGTCCAATGTTTGTTAACCTCCTTTTTTCTAAGGACCAGGGGAGATGTCATGCTAAATAAATGAAGTAAAAGTGGGCAAATTGTGGCAACAGCATCTCATTTCTGACCATCTTTGCAAGGGTGTACCTTGGAGTCCAGCAGAGAGCCTGGGCTAGTACATGTGCTCAGCAGATCTCTGCAGAGTTTTGTGTGTGCTGAAAATCAATGTTTTATTAATCCATTGTCTCTGTGGCACACAGGAAGATATTCAGAACTGTATGTTTATCAAGCTCTACTACAGCATGCAACATGATCTGTTCCAAAATGCTGTTGCATAGTGTTACTCTGAACTGCCTTTTGTTTGTGTGGTGGGAATGAGGGATGTGTCATGTGTCCATCATATACAAATCAAAGGCTAAAAAAGTGTGGAGAGCATTTCCATTCCCTATTATAACCACTGTTTTTGTAGTGTTAATTTTTTATTTCAGTTTTGCTTTTTATTCCCTCAATTTATTGTGAAAGGGTGAATTACCTATTCCATCAAGTAAATTAATCCCAGATAGAAGCATAATGATGGCTAATTATTAGTATGAGGCTAGAGTGGGATGACATTGTAGGAGGTACTGTGGCTCTCAGTTGAGGGCAGTGGGATTACATCATTGAACAAATAGTTCAAACTACTTTTTATGTTGTTGATGAAACTTCCTTAGGATACTGGAATAGTGCAAACCATGGCTGTAATCCCAGGATGTGCTAGTAACTTCAGAGCAGATAAACATTGTCCTCTGCTCTAAAATTTTGCAGACTAATTAATTTCTAGAGCAGTCTTCCACTGATTCATTAATTTAAAAATGAAGGTAAGTAGCTATAAAAATTACCAAAGGGAGTGGTTTATGATGGTATGTAGAACACAGGGCATGTGGGTTACTTGTATGTAGTCTGAACTGGATTCTCCCCTGAGAAGTGCACTTGTTTGTGTTGCCTGTGCTGTGGAGATTGTGGAGGGGAGATGTTTTGCCTTTATGTGAACTCTTTGGATTGGCTTCTGTAGTAAAGTGATAATTTAGGTGGAGGTGAGAGGGTAAAATCCTACCAGAGTTTGCCATCTTGCCCAAGTGTTTGGAAGACAGTGGAAAGAAAAGTAATCTCTGAGCCCTCCCCTGAAGCAAAATAAGGAAAATTAAAGGGAAGGAGATCCCCTGTATCCTGCTTTGTGCTTCCTTTATATTTATTAGGAACAGGAAAGATGAAATTTGAAGTATTACTCCAGTGTGCTTACTTTGATGGAGACTGCAGGAAAGGCAAGGGTGGGAAGGGGGGAAGTAACTGAGATCTGCCAGAGGCTGAACCACAAACTGACCACAGCACAACTCTATTGAATTAGGTTTACTGTGGTTGATTGATTGAAGCTGATTGTTTCTTATTTTCCTTTTCTGATGAGTAGTGTGTGAATGTATAATCATTCACTCTAATGTTCTATTTACTTATTTAGTTGTGCTTTAGCAGCATTTATGTATTCCTAATATTTGAATGGGAAGGGTTTTTTATTTGTGGTAACTTTTTTTATGGAATGTAATGAACTTTTTGTATAAAATATCATCTTCATTTTCCTACAGATTACCAAAACTTTACCTGTGTGAATTCTGTCTTAAATACATGAAAAGTAAAAACATTTTGTTAAGGCACTCAGAGAAATGTGGGTGGTTTCATCCTCCAGCCAATGAAATCTACAGAAGAAATGACCTTTCAGTATTTGAGGTAGGTGTTTCAAAACTATAAGCTTTTGGAAAATAACCAGTTTGTAGATTTTACAGACTAGCTGTAGAACTGGTGAAAACTTTAACATCCTTAAATACTTCCTTGGAGATTCTTCTTATACTGCAAAGCCAAGTTGAGATTCTGGCTATACTGCAAAAACAAATCCATCTTCCCAAGCTGTTCTACCCTGTTCTGCCGTGTTCTAGCCTGTTCTGCCATGTTCTTTCATTATTTGTTCTTTACTTGTACTTCGTGCCTTAGCCAGGCTCTTTAAGATACTTGACTAGCATGAGTCTTAGGGCTTCCTTTGCAGTTTTCATCTTGGATCGGTTTGCCTTTCCCTTCTCAGCAAGAGTACCCCTTGACACCCATTCGTTTCTGGCTGCTTGAGTGTCTTGGGTGTAGGGAGAAGTCTAATCATATTGTAGGTGCTCCCAAAGTATAAAAGCAAGTAAAGCAGCTTCTTGTGTGTTCTAAAATCACAAATGTAGCTCCTAAGTGCTTCTGCCTTCATTTTGGATGTTTGAGAAACTTGCCCTGAAATATAAAAAATCCCACAACCTCAAATTTAGATTTATTAATCGATGTTATTTTTTTGGGAGATGACTTATTTTGAGTGTGAGGTTTAATGTATATCCTGGACAAGAGAATTCTGTGTTTCTAATAGCATACCTGCAGTTAAAACTCTGCCTTAACTTTCACATTCCAGTTGCTCAAGCATTATTACAGGTAGCAATAACGGAAAAGACTGCTGGGGTTACTAGGACTTCTTTTCTCAACAGTGTTATTGAGATGCATGTATTGATAATTTCACTTTAATTGCAGATGTCATATTCTTCTTCAAATGTGTATTTTCAAATTGTATAAGTGTCCTTTGTTCTTTGTCATTGCCATTATCTGTTCAAATAATGGTAGATGCAGTGAAAGGTTTTTTTAAGTTAGAACAAGATCTTTGTATTTTGGTTTATTTGCTTATGCTTGTGCTATTAAAAAAATAACTATTTGCCTCAAGATTGTGTCCTTCCTGACTTGAGCAGTTTTTATAAATATTGAAGAACTGCCAGCAAAAGACTTGTGTTGTAAATAGACTTACCTCTTTTCCTATCAAGAATGAAATTGCCCTAGACTGTTTAAAATAACTTGATATTCACTGTTAGCAGGTGTTAAGAACTGTGGAGCATACAATAGGCAAATTGTGCTTTCTCATTTATTTTTATTAACTACTGCTAACATGTAAATGAAAAATTCTTAAGAAAATAGAGTACAGAGAAATACTGGGAAAGGGGATGGGGAGGTGGGGGATTGCTGCATGGAAAACAAAGTATTGTGAAAGCAATGTCCCAACTCTTTCTCCACTGCTTTTGTTCCCTTTGTCTGTTTTGGGTGCTTCAGTAAGCACTTGTGCTAAGCACTTATGTAGTTGGTTTGGGTATTTTTATTTCAAAGGTTAACGTCAGTTGTTACTGACTACTGTAGAAACTTAGTCATTAGTTGATGTCCTTCTTCATAGATCTTTTCAAGAATTCTGTGCAACCATTTTCTTTTAGACAGAATGAAGAGTTTGTGGTTTCCTTCATGCTTTGTGTTTTTGAGAGAAATGGAAATAAGTTTGGCATTTTGTGATTTATGTACCTCTGCCCAGAGGATGACTTTGACAGATTTGAGAGCAGACTTTGACATAGCTTACTATTATGCTGTAGCCAAGCAACTTTTGACAGATGCTTCCTTTTGAGCTTGCTGTCCCTCTTTTTTCCCTGCTTCTCACATTTAAAACTGACGAACAAGCTGTGTTTGCCTGAAATTTAAGAAGTTTTTTTACATTTCTGTACAAATGTTCTTACTAAAAAAGACAGCTCACATAATTTGCATTTTCAGGCTTACAGCTTAACCAGTGGTGATTTCTGCTTACTTAGTGTTCACATTTAATTGGCACGCTTGCTAATAATTGTGAAAAGTAACAAAAAGCACCTGGACAATGGAGTGTGCTCTAAGAAAGTTTGATGTATTCGATAGGCTCTTAAGAACTGTATACAAGTTTATCCTGATGTCTTAAGGAGCAGTAGCTATTCATTGAATGTTTTTTCTTCAATCCACTTAATGCAGCTATGCTACTGATGTTCCCTTAAAATCCCTAATATTATCCAAAAGGATGGGTTTTGCTTAGATTTGTAACTAGGATTCTAACTCAAAACAAATTAGAAGAGAAGATGGGTTCTTTTTCTGCACAGTTCCTGTCATTTGTCTCTCTGAATGAAATACAGCTACTGTCATTATCAAAAACATCAGTACAAGCAAACCATTCTATTAAGATTATTTCAAAAATGTGTTGCCTTTGACTGAGCCTTTCAGGAAGTACCTAATTGATCTAGGAAATCTGCATTTGTGTCTGGCTTTTCTGTAGCTGTCTGAGTCACAGCTTGACTCTTTTCACTCATAATATACCTAGACTAATTGTAGTATTTAGCCAGGAAATTTACCTCTCTCACTCAATAGCATTTTAGCCTGGTATGGAAATTTTGTCTTGTCTAATTTATCCAAAACATTGATGTGATTGATATGTAATTTGCTACTCATTTATTGGCCTTACTTCTTAAGGATTCAGCATAATACACGTCTTTGTTTGGGGTTTTTTAAAAGTTGCTGTACTCCACTGCCTTCTAGCAAACCACAATTTAAGGCAGTTTTAAGTAGTGCATTTTTGTTATCTGCCAGTCATACTCATTTCCATTCCAGGCATGAAATGAAAGAGTTAAGTCTGTCTTCAGCAACTAAAAGGTGAAGTTACTTTGTTTAATAAATCCAGATACTCAGAGGTTACTTAAAAATGCAAAGTAATTAGCACCTACTGTAGGATTCTTATTTGAGAAGAAACTGGGGCATTTCTCTTTTGAACCTTGATGTGTTTAGTTTGTTTGTTTCTTGTAACACCATACTGTTCACGTTCCCTTCTAGGATATGATTGATTCAATAAGTTATTTTGTCCTAACTTGTTGGTGCCATGGAAATAACTAAATCTGTCTTGCTTTTCTAGGTTGATGGAAATGTGAGCAAAATTTATTGTCAGAATCTTTGTTTGTTAGCTAAGCTCTTTCTGGACCACAAAACCTTGTATTATGATGTTGAACCATTCCTCTTCTATGTCCTTACAAAAAATGATGAGAAAGGCTGCCATTTAGTTGGATATTTCTCTAAGGTAAAAATTTTAAAATTGGGTTTATTTAATATTTGTAATGTCCTGCTCTCCTTAATGCTTCTCCCAAAAGCAAAGAAAAATCAGAAGTCGGAAAAAACTCCGTAAGCTTGAAAGCCTCTCTGTAAATCTTGAATATTATGTGCATTGTCTCAAATACATTGTACTTTCTTGCCTCTGACTGATGCAAATTCAGAATTTGTTCAGCCACATGGATGGGGGTAGATTTTTTTCTTGTTTGTGGATTTTGTTTCCAGAATTTGTTGTGGTTTCAGTTGAATATTTCAATCTCTTTCCTTCCCCAACATTTTTGCATTAGTATGCCAAATCTAACTTGTAAAAGTTGCAGGTATTTGGAATGTTGATGTGTTTTCATGGCTTGACTGCTGGCAGTTCCAGCTGGCTATTTAGATGTAAATGGGCAGTGCTGTTGCTCTCTTGTGTGCAGTCTGATCTAATGCAGTTACTTGCTACTCCCATGTAAGAATGCATTGCCTGACTTCATGGTGCCTGCCTTGTTTAGAGTAGATGTCTCAGTGGTAGCTGATTTTCAAGTAATAGATGGCTGCTATTGACAAAAATAATACTTAAGTGAACAATCTTGACAAAGATGACCAAGAAAATGGTGAACTATAGTTAGATGTGCCTGCATTGGGAAAAGCTTCCATTATTGTCCATAATTTGCCCCTAAGGGATGTGTTGAATAGGTACAGTTACTCAGAAATTCACTACTTCCTGGTCCTAGTATTGCTACCTCCTACTGACTATATATTTTCTTTTTTTAAATAAGTGATTTGTAGGAAATAGTAGTCAGGAGAAGCCCAAAAGTCTTGTCAGAGTATCTGAATATTATATAGTAATCTCTTGGATGTTTAGCCACATCCTTCTGAGAGGTGAGCCTTGCTGGAATTAAAGTGAGACATGTAGGCACAATTTACACTGTCTTTAATGTCAGTCAGAACTTCTTGTGACAGACATGTCGACTTTTATTTAGCCCAGTATTTTCTCCATGTGCTTAAGGTGTTGCAGCTTAAAGTGAGTCTCTTGATTTTTGTTCCTTATAGAATGGTTCATGTTGGAAAAGACCTTTGAGATCATTGAGTCCAGCTGTTACCCCAGCACTGCCATGGTTGCTACTAAACAGTGTTCCCAGGTGCCACATTTCAAAATACATTTGCAAGTATTTTGAACATTTCCAGAGATGGTAATTCTACCGCTCCCATGAGCAGCCTGTTCCAATGCTTTGTTACCCTCTCAGTGAAGAAAGTTTTCCTAACATGCAATCTGAACCTCCCTTGATGCAACTCAAGGCCATTTCCTCTCAACATGGCACTTCTTCCTGGGGATGAGAGAAAAGCCCAGGTAGAAGCCACATAGCCACAGCCTTTCCCTCCTCCTCCAAGTGGATCACCCTGTCATAGAAGGAGATCAGGTTAGTCAGGCAGCACCTGCCTTTCACAAACCCAAGCTGGCTGGACCAGATTCCCTGGTTGTCCTGCATGAGCCATGTGATGGCAGTGAAAATGATCTGCTCTGTGACCTTCCCCTGGCACAAGAGGTCAGGCTGACAGACCTGTAGTTCCCAAATCCTCTTTCTGCGACATTTTGTTTTACACTTGCTAACCTCCATTCAACTGGGACCTTTATGATTAACCAGTACTGCTGGTAAATGGTGGAGAGTGGCTCAGTGAGCTCTTCCAACAGTTCCCTTGGCCTCTGTGGACTGGTAGATGTTTTAAGTGACATGATGGGTCACTAAGCATTTTCTTGTGGCTCACAGGGGCTTCATCCTGCTCCCTGTTTGTCTTCCTGCTCAGGGGGCTGAGTACCCTGAGTACAGGTGGTCTTGCTGTTAAGGACTGAGGCAAAGAAGGCATGAAGTACCTCAGCCTTTTCCTCATTGTTGTGGTTTAAGCCCAGCTGGAAATTAAACCCCATACAGCCACTCTCCACTCCCTCCAGTGATAAAGAGAGACCAAATGTAGAGGTTATGGGTTGGGATAACAATTTACTGGAAATAGCAATGAGATAAGAAATTGAACAGTGACAGCAACAATACTAATAAAACAGTGTATAAAAGAGGTGATTACATGCAAAATGCTCAGTGCATCCCCCCACCTTTTTTTACCCCCCCAAGCAAGACAAAGTGAAAAAAAAAAGGTGGACAACCCTCCGGTCAGTACCAGCACCATTGAACTGCACTGCTTGCCACCCACTGCTCTGGAAAAGGACAAAAATGTCTGTGGACCCTCCAAACACTCTTTTAGCTCCACCTGAAACCGTGCCCCTTTCTTGGAAGTGGAAAATTCCTTACTTCCACCCCCAGTGATTATATCAGTGGTATAAAATAACAACAATTTTTTCTCGTCTTGTGTGCCAGTGGCCAGTTTGCATTCTAGGTCTGCTTTGGCCCTTCTAATACTGTCCCTGCAAAAACTCGCAACACCCTTGAAAGTCCTCCTGTTGTCTGCTCTCTTCTTCCAAAGGTGACCGACTCTCATTTTCCCTGAGCTTCAGACAAAGCTCTCTGCTCAGCCAGTCAGTTGTCTCTGCGTGCTCATCTGGAAGCACATGGGGATGGCCTGCTCCTGTATCTTTAAAAATTTCCTTCTTTCAGTACGTCTAGCCTTTGCGGACTCCTTTGCTTTTGCATTCTAAGGGACTTTCTCAACCAGCATCCTAAACAGGCCAAGGTCTGCCCTGTGGGAGTCCAAGGTAGCAGTTTTGCTTAACCCCCTCATTATTTCTTCAAGAAACAGAAGCTATCATTTCATGGTCACTGTGTGCAAGATGGCCTCCAGTCATCACATCCTCCCCAGTCCTCTGTTCACAAGCAGCAGGTCCAGCTGTGTACTTCCCCTTTTTGTTCACTCACCAGCTGTATCAGGAAGTTATATTCCACGTATTCCAGGAACCTCCTAGTCTGTTTCCTTTCTGCTGTGCTGTATTTCCAGGGTTTATAGCCATGCATTTCAGCACTCCAGCGTGTGTGATCCCACCATGGCTCCGTGATGGCAGCTATGTCACAGTTTTCCTGCTGCACCATGGCTGCTATTTACTCCTCTTTGTTGGCCATGCTGTGTGCATTGGTGTAGGTGCTCTCGAGGTGGGTGATTCAGTCCTGCTGCCTTTTGGGGGGAGCAACTCTAATTCCTGTGTGACCATTCTCAGGCACTTCCATGGTTTCTGACACATCAATAACCCTTGTATCCTTGCTGGCACATGGATCTCCATGTCCTACCTTTACTGAGGTGGCTGAGGTAGTGAAGGATGTCCTTAGCACACCTTCCCTCAAACAACAGATACATGTTCTACTTCCACTTCACCCCTGTTGCTTTTGGCCAGTCTGTGTTGATCACAATGTGATCTGATGATCACAAATATTATCACCACCAAAACTCAGGGAAAAATCTTCATTTCAAATTATTGCATGTCATCCATATATGTCTCCCCCCCACCACCACTTTTTTTTTAAAGAAGGTGTGTGTTTTTGCTGGGAGAAATTATGTGGCTTTTCTTACCTGGTTATAAATGTTTTGCCAGGATGTGGTCTGCTTACTAGCAGTAGTCTTGAGAGTTTGGGAGGCATGTACAAAGAAAATATTTAACTGTTATAGAATCTAAGCAACCTTGTGAAATCTGGCTTGGGTATCTGATGGAGTATTTGGGAATGAGTGTACTGGCATGTGATCCTGTCATGTCATCACTGGTCTGGTGTCATCTTGTGTGGAGGCTGAAATGATAGCTGGTGTCTTAAACTATACATGTGCTTACCACAGCTCCTTGTCAGTTATTCTGACCTGGATATTTCTGGTTGCTTTGGTCTCCCTCAAAACAGCCTATTGCTGATTTTTGGGGTGTAATCTTTTAAAGGTAACAAAACTCTTCCTTCTTATCAATAAACTGGAAAGAACCTATAAACTTCTGTAGTTAGAACAGCTTCCTAATCTTAGCTTCTTGTGTCTTAAACAATCAGTGTAGTATTTGTCTCCATTGCCTGTATATGACTTCATTCTGTCTGAAAGCTTTTGTTTCTGAGCATTCTGCCTTGATTTGTGCTCTGGTGATAAGCATCTAGCTTTTAAAAACTTAGTATGCTTCAAATGTAACTTCTTAGTTCTGCACATAGGGGGTTCCTCCCCTGCACCCTGACCACATATTCAGAGAGAAGACAAAAAAAAAAGGTGAAAACCTGCAGGGACTTAGTGTAGCAATTACAGAAAATACAGCTTCACCATGTGCAGGGATATTGTAGTCCACTTCCTCCATATCCTTGAGAGAATAGTCAGTGAAGCATGAAAATATTTCCCTCTTCTTACTGTCTTTCTTCTTTACAGCATTTAAACTTTATTATGCTGTTCAGACAATGTGTTTAATTTTTAAGATGCCAAGTGGTTAACTAATTAAAAAAATATTCTGAAGGGTATGTTTGATACTTCTTCCTTAAAATTAGACATTCACATGGAATTATTTGACTTTGGTACTGAACCCATGCATCTGTTCACCTTATTGGGATATTTTACAAGGACAGTAGCAGGTGCAAGCAATTGCCCACTTCAGCAGTGCTTTGACGTACTTGATCTGTTTCTCCTTCCCACAGGAAAAGCTTTGCCAGCAGAAGTACAATGTCTCCTGCATAATGATCATGCCCCAATACCAAAGGCAAGGATTTGGAAGGTTTCTCATTGATTTCAGTAAGTGAAGTGTTTTATTTACACTTGTGATCCAAGGAGCTGATGGCTGTTATATGAAAGTGTAACATATGAAACTTTATTTAACTCACTCTGTTGTTTTTATCAATAGATAATGGGATTTCTGTTTATATTTACATAGGATAGAAAAGCTCCCTGAAGTGAAAAACTTAGTGCTGCTCTGTTATTGTACTCGAGGAAATTGAGAATGGATCTCTCGGCAGTAATGTTAGCTCACAAAGCTATTACCCTGAATGAATTGTCTAAATTACTTTCCATTTTGCTTTGCTCATTAGTATAAGAAGAGGCAATTATTTGTGATTATAGCTAAGAAGGTGTTAGTCTGAGGCATTCTCTCCATTCTAATATTTCTAGCTTCTATCTTTTTGTAGGGGGAAAAAAAAAAAGCTTGAATTGAAGAATTGCACCATGGAAGAGAAGTATTTTGGTTTTTGTGTTCATCACTTTCTTAGTGAAAATTGTTACCAGAAAGGGTGTAGGTGTTAGTGGCTGTACACGTACTTGCTGCTTTATTTTGCTGAGCTGCCTGACCTGTTAGAAAGCTTCAGGCTCACTTGTTTAAATATAGATTTGTTATTCCCCAAATCTTGTTGTATAAGGGAACTCCAAACAAAATTATCTAAGGAAACTTCTCAGTTGAGTGTCCTCATTACTCCTGAATCCACTGTAATTTAGAGGTAGGATGATAAGGAGTAGTTAGTGTATATTGTATGTGGTTGCTTTTCACTATTATGTTTTATAAGGCCCTGTAGAATTACATGAGGATAGAGATAGTTCAGATAATAGGATTCCTGCCCTGAAGGTGTATGCAAGAACAATAAAATGCAAATAATAATACATTGCAGTGTAACAGCAGGACAAAGACAATAATTTGTAACTGTAGAGTTTTCAAGTTCTGTTCTTGCAGTGTTGTACCCAGCATGACTGTGCTAGAGTGTATAAAGATACTTAGTATGTCCCATCATTGCATGGCTTTATAAATAGCCTTCACCATACCCCTGCGAGTTAGGTAAAAATGGTTCTGGACCACTTAATCCACCACTGAAATGTGGCTGTCACTGGAGTGGAACACAGCAGCTGTTCCATTGTGCGCCTTCTGCAACCTTTTAGCAAAGGCTGTGAGAAGTACCACGTATTTCTGGGTCTGTGGAGAGAACTTTAAGCTTGCTTAGGTAGAAATCAGCCCTGTTTTAGGATTAGAATACTTTTTTTTTTTTTTTTTTTTTTTTGCAAAGGAGATGAGCTCTTAAGTGGGCACTGGTAAGTGTTTCCAAGCTTTTTCTTTGTTTGTGGTGTCTCTCTCCCTCTCAAAAAAAGAAAGTACTCTCAACAAATGTTATTTTGGTTGAGTTTGCAATGGTTATAAATACAAAACTGATGGCACAGCCATGAAACGCGTGGATTCCGCAGAAGGTCAGGGTATCAGTATGCTGTGTCTCTCTGGATGTGTGCTCTACTACTGTGCTTTGTGCTGCTCCATCTGCGAAAATCAATAGGGTGTTCTGGCCTTCTTGTCCTTTGGAAAAATCTGGAAGCACGTGGGGTTTTTTGAATCATTAGGGTTTATGTATAACTTGCTTGGAGCTTATCTGGTGCTATTCCTAGACCTTCCTCTTTGCAGATACGTTCAGGTCACAGGTGTGGGCTGCAGCTGTACAAACTTGGCACAGGACAGAGACACCTTTAGCTTCTGCTGTGGCTACCAGACCATCCACTTCAGTAGCACACAGGCAGTCCTTCAGTACTTCCCCTTTGTTTTCTGGACAGAGGTTCCCTTAACTAACTGGGAATCAGACTGTTTCATTTGCCAGCAGAATGAGGAACCAAGAGATGACTGAGAAAGTCTGGCTCTGTACTGAGAGTAAGGTGCAAACTACCTAAAAGGTAGTGAGGGAACTGCTTGTGGCTGTTTTTCCCTGTATGTAGAAGGGAAGGGAAGACTTTCAAGGCTAGTTTTTCAATAATGCATTTGTATCTTTTTTCAGGAGGGAGGCTGAGTCCTATGAAATGGGGCATAGCTTCATTTGAATTAGTGACCCCAAAACCTTTTTTACAGGAAAACACTTAAGAATGAATTATTTACTCTTTTTTGGTGTAATTTGATGTGTTTCTGCCTTTGGACTAACTCCCATCTTCTTTGTGCTTTACTTTTCTGTTCACTTGTGATCTCCTGAGTATAAATTGCTCTAACTGGTCTGAGAAGATGCAATATAAACCCCCCCCCCAGTTATTATTCTAAACTTGAACAGACCAAGTTTATCATAGTTTAAAGCATTCTTTACCAGTGACATTATCTAGACTGTCATGTTCTCATAAAGTCATTGCAAGATAAATTTTATGCTCTGAATGTTAAGTCTTCATTTGTTATGTGGGTAATGCTTGTAAACTGCTTTATTTTGAAATCTGTGAAGCAGTCACTGGTACTTGTCTCTTTTTATAACAGTAACCAGAACAGTGTTTAGACTATAATAATAAAAACATAACTGAGCAAGTAATTTTCAGAAAATGATAGTTACAAACCACAGAAAGGAATATTTTAAAAACTGTGTGCAAGCAGTTGACTGCTCACATTATTTTGTATGTATCTAGACACTTGATAGGCTGGAAAGAATACAGCCTTTAAGCCACTACACAACTTCTGCTTTGTCAGCAGTCTGCTGAAAATGTAGTTTGTGGTAAAAATTTGCCTCTTTTTTTGGTAAGTAAAATGCATTTGTTTGTTCAGATTGTGATGCATTCTTTTGTCTTGAACTAATTTAATTTTCACAGATGAGTCTTATATGGTCATGCTGTAACTAGCAAGGGAAAATAAATTCTTTCATTTTGCTAAGGGAAAAATAGGTATTTGTCTTCTGACCACTGATTTTTAGTTTTTTCACTTTAACATTTCGCTAACTACATTTAAACTTACCTGTGTTTCATACCCAAACTGGTAATAGCAGTATTTCTTACTCTGTAGACACCAATATAAAGGTCTATTGGTCTGTCTCTTCAGGAATCTATAATCTCACCTATGGGAAGGAGGAGCTTTTAAAAGAGGAAATTTACTCTCGTGAGAAGCAGGCATGCTGTAAAATGCCTGAATTTGCTACTCTGATTGCCTTCAGCAATAACTTAATTTCTCGTTTTCTGTATGTCATTCATCATTTAAATAGAAATGTTGTTAAAATTAAAAAATATGCTCTGTAACTATGTTTTTAAAACCTGGTAAGATTTTTTTTTATTATTAATTGTGGGGAAATTAGAGATTTTGACTGTGATAGAAACTTGTTGGGCTGTTTAGAAATTGAGAAGAGTTTAGTTACAAATATTTTATTAAATGGTTAAACTATTGATTTGTAAAATTGAAGACTTGATACTGCTTCATTTTGTTTAATCCACTCTAAGACAATCAGTTTAACCTGTTCTATTTCTTGAAGACAGAATGGTTTACATGAAGTCTGCACTTGGTTTACACCAAGTATGCTTTATTAAATACTCTTTTGTAACAGTTGGTTCATTTTTCACATAGGGATAGGGATCCTGATTTTCACTTGGAGTGTAGCTAACATAAAAAGCATTTCCTGAAAATGAATAAGGGTCTTAATTTGCTCGTTACATTTATACCTTCCTGCCTTTTACAGGACTGAAAGCTCCTGCCAAACTTTTTGGGTGTGGGCTGTTCGTTTTGTTTTCATTTCTTTGTTGTTCTTGTATTCTGTGGGATTTACAGGATTGTGATTACAGGGTTTTGTCTGAGGGAGAGTAATTGACTTCTGCATCCATCTTTTATATTTGCTGCAAATAAAGTTTTTGGGCAAGTAGTCTCCAGCTGAAGTTGCTCCAGCAATGAAGCAGAAAGCTCTTAGGCTGTATTGCCTAAGAGCCCGTAGTGGGTTTGTTTGGTTTCGAGTTCCTCTGCAGGGATGCACAGCTGTGGTTCCTGTCCCAAGGACTGATGGCGTGTGCTTTGGGTGAGCCTTTGGCTGGCCCCTGTCAGCTCAGCCTGTATTGCTGCTGTGGTGGGACAGTGCAAGCCCTGAAGCCACAGTGTTGTAGCTTCTCTCTGTGCAGACCCATTTCTTTTATAAACTTTAGCAGCTCCTCTATGCAAGACCTTTTTCTTTGCTTTCCTGATTTGAGCTCTTGCAAAGCCTGGGATCTTCATATGCTTTCTATTTCTATTCATTAGACTGCAGTGCCAGAGCATACTAGTATTTCTTTATTTGGCATATCTAACGGAGTTCGTTATTACTAGAATGAAATACAGCAGTATTTCATATTTGTTTTCTGTAAGTTTAAAGTTGTCTTTTGATTCATACTTCTTCGCAAAGCTCATCTTGTCACAGTCTCACATTTCTGCGTACTGGATTGCAAATTCCATGCTGGAGGCCTAGCCAGCAGCTGGAAGAAAAGAAATGCATGTGACTGTTAGGATAAACCTTTCCAACTGTGCTGGCTAGGATGTTGACAGTTCATTTGCATTACAGTAACAACTGGGCTTAATGCTGAGGAGTAAAGTCCTTGGTAGCCTTTTGTTACTTATCTTGGGGCTGTTTCTGGTCCAACTGATTGTAGCAGTTTCTGCCTCCCCTTCAGAATTCCTTTGGGTTTTTTTGGTTTATCTGTTCATTGTGAAATTATTATTCTTGCTCAAGAGATGAAACATTTAAGGATGCTGGGATTCTGTTTGGGCTAAATGCATTCTTTGTTTTGTGGGTTTTTGGGTATTTTTTGGTTCATTTGTCTGTGTGGGAAAGTCAGTGCTAACTTTTTAAACTTTCCTATCACTTATTGCATGCAACTTGAAAAGGCTGGAAATTTTTTTTTCCCTTAGCTTGACTTAACCCCTGATTCATCTTTAGGATTGAGGATGTGTAGCTCAGACTTTTTTTTGCTGAGAAAACCATAATAAGGAAAGACATTTCAAGTCTGACAGTGGAAGAAACCAATAGAATTTATATTACCTGAGAACTTTTATTTTGATGTTGGAAAATCGGCTC